ACCCAATCGACCACCCCCAAAGCCCAGCTTTAGTTGACTTTGAAAACAGTGGTGTAGTTAGAATTGAAATTAAAATAGATAAGCATCATGTATTCAGATATTACCAAGAATCGGCAAAACCAAGTGATACCAATAGTGCTGTTAAAAATAATGTGGATATTAGATACATGAATTTTGACAAAATGAATCAAAGTAACGAAATAAAGGCTAAAAGCTCACCTGATGAAGAGCACAAGAAATGATACAATCCTGGATTCTGCTATGAAAATGAAATTAAAGTTAAAAAAGACAATTATAAGGAAATCGAACAGAATTCTGATTCTAGTAAAGGCGATAATCTGGTATTTATTGAAAACCAAAATTTGGACGAATGCTTGGTTTTTGAGGATTGTGTGCAAAGTAAAATCAACAATAAAAGACCTAAAGAGAACATTGATGAGATAAATGATTTTGGATATTATTATGACAATGAAATTGGAGTAAAAGATGATCACAAAGCATTCAAGGAAGGAAAATTGTTAGTAGAAAATAAGGTAGAAGATGATAATAAAGAATTAGAAGAAAAGTCAGAAAGTATGATGAGGTGAATTGAAGAGTATGTAGATTAAAGTATCAAGAGTAGTGATCAAAACGATGCAGTTTGTACGAATACAACGGGTGAAATCATAATAGAAGTGAATAAAAGCAAAGAGATAGATAAAGAAGTTATTGAAAGTAATAATAAAGTGAGACGAACAAACGATAACAAAAAGAAAGGCTTACCATTATCAAGCAACAAGCTGGCTCCAAAGATCGAATCTAAAAATAAAATGCTTACTAATAAAACTACAAAAGATGGATATAAGTTGTTTAATACAAATGCATGTGAAGAATTACTTACTGATTTAAGTAGATCAGCGAAATCAAGACGTAATAATGCAAATAGATATGCATTGTATACAAATCACTTCAGCAATAGCAATTGGAATGAACAATATGGTGTTGGATGGCATACGAATGAGGAACACAACCATGGTGACTATATTGTAAAACAAAGACATGGGAATAATAAGGTGGTATGTCTTTTGAACGATACTATAAATTTGGCCATTGGATTAAACATCGGTAGAACTATCGAAGCTGCGTATACAAGGTGGAAGCTGAAAATCAAATTGTTTAAGGCCCAAAATAATAAAAACGAACATAAGAATCAAAAGGATAATATGACATCATGTAATGTGTTAAATCAGGATGCAAAGGTTTATCAGAAATATAAGGAATGGTTGACAAAAGTTAGCGAATTCCAGATGATCACATGCAAAGAAAAAGGAATAAAACTTACCAAAGAAATGGTTAAAACAATTGCGGAAAGTAGTAAAGTTGATGAACGATTTGATCCAGGAGGACATCGTGATCAAAATGGAAAAGGTTTTGAGAAAATGAATGATGAGCTAAAGGAAGATAAACAAGAAAAAATATTAATTGTTGACAATAACCATAATGATAAAAGAACTAAACAGTATCTGAAATATAATATAGACAAACCTGAAGAGAAGATGGCACTCAGAAGTTGGATAACAAAAATTGCCATAATAATAATATCAACACATAGTTTTGTCAATTTGATCCTTGATCTCAGTGGAAACCTGAGGATTGAATTGAGCTGGATTAGTATAATGAAAAACAGAAAGAGATTTTATTTTTATCAGCCCATACAAAGATCCCAGTTCACCAGTATGATCAACCAATATGCTTTGTCTTTTTCGAACTTGGCTCAATTCGTTTTCGATCCTGAAGGAAACTTGAGAATTGGATGTAATTAGATGGTGAAAAAAAAAAAAGAAATAATAAATAATATATTTTTTTAATAATGCTAATAATATTATTTCATGTTACATTCAACAATACAAAATGAAATCAGAATTACTTAACTGCTGAGGCACAATTAGAATTTTGAGTTGAGAACAATTTACTTGAATTGGAATCATGTGGTAGCGTTCATATACAAAAAAAAAAAATAAAAAAAAAATAGTACATAGTCTCTAGCTTAACACATTACTATCTCAGTGCTGGAACGAATACTGGAATCAGGCTTTAATGAAATGATAAGTGAGGCAAGAAGATTGAGGGAGGAGAAAATCCGAAGGTTGTTGGTGGGTTCGACGGAGCTCACCCTTTGAGAAGAGGAATATGTTATGAAAAATTTTGACAAATTTTTTGTATCTTGCATTTTCGCTATGTAGTTTCTTTATCTTCCTATGTAAAAGTAGTAAATCATGTAGTCACAATAGTAATAGCATGTGTACAGATTTGGAACCCGGGGTTAGGGTTTGAAACCCAGGATCTGGGTTCGAAACCCCTGATCTGGGTTTGAAACACTTGAATATCTAAATGTATAAATAGGCCGTTTGTCTAGTAAATAAAGTAACTTTTCTGAACTCTTTCTTACTCTGCTCAAGTAATAAATATAGTGGATACATAACCTAGCACTTTCTTATTTTAATTTCAATTCTAACTACACCACTGTTTTCAAAGTCAACTAAAGCTGGGCTTTGGGGGTGGTCGATTGGGT